ATCAATAGAAATGTTATCTGAATATGAAGATAAGAAGAATGTAATAAGCATAGTAAGAATATAAAAGAGTAAGAAGTATAACAAAACATCAACAAAATAAAAACTTGTATGAGTGTGCATAGCAGACCCATTATCTGGTGGAGTGTGTAGTATACCTGAGAAGTATAGGGGCTAACTCTACCCTGCTAATGCGGAAGTAGGCACTGAGACATCCCAATAGGAAAAAGATAAAAGAGACCAAAATTCCCCAGTGTTCAGGTTGTCGGGATTGTAACTCAGTCTGCGGATATTTGGTGTGCGTTTCTTTACACATATATTGCGGCTCTGCTGGTATAGCGATATTCCATGATGCCAGAATTTTTATCCCATCATCAGGGGTCAGAATTGGGATTAATTTCCCCTGAAAATTGGCTAATATTTTTGTGGGATATCCCCACTGATATCTTATTTTATGGGTTATTAGAGCTGATGTGATGCGTTTGAATTCTTTGCGTTTTTTTTGTGCGGTATAGGCTGATATGTCCGAAAATATAGCACATTTTTCATATGGAGCTGGAAGTGTTTTAAGTTTTCTCATAGCTATCATGAGTGCTTCCTTAGCATGAACAAAATGTATTCTGGCAATAACGTCTCTAGGGACGGTATGTGGCAGATGTTTAGGTTTCATCAGTCTATGGGCTCTATTATGTTTGGTAGATGTGTTTTCAGTAGTCTACCCAGGTAGATGGATAACTCTGGCGGAGTGACTGATTCAGGGATCCCTCTCATTTTAACGTTATTCCTCCTTGTGCGGTCTTCCATGTCAGCCATTTTTTTTTTCATTTTTATGATTTCTTGTGATTGTGTCTCATAAGCATCTATCAAGGAATTGTATGCTACAACACATTCCTGAATTTCCCTTTCTGCTGCATCTGTACGTTTTTCAATTTGGGTGACTTGTTTTTGAATAAAATGTACAGATTTTTGAAGATCAGATTGTATGTCTTTATGAAGGGACAATAGCATCTGTTTCAGTGTAATGGCTGTGATAGGGAAGTATGAAGCTGGCAGCTCTGCCAGTAAATGTATTGCTTTCAGTCAGATCTGTTGTTTCAGCAGAAGTGTGAATTGTTATCTTTTACTTCCAGGAGCCTTTGTACACGGTGATAGGAGAGGAGATGAAGCTGGTCTCTTGCTCTTTTCTTTTTACTTCCAGGAGCCTTTGTACACGGTGATAGGAGAGGAGATGAAGCTGGTCTCTTGCTCTTTTCTTTTTACTTCCAGGAGCCTTTGTACATGGTGATAGGAGAGGAGATTAAGCTGGTCTCTTGCTCTTTTCTTTTACTTCCAGGAGCCTTTGTACACGGTGATAGGAGAGGAGATGAAGCTGGTCTCTTTTCTTTTTACTTCCAGGAGCCTTTGTACACGGTGATAGGAGAGGAGATGAAGCTGGTCTCTTGCTCTTTTCCTTCACTGGTGACAGAGGATCAGCTGTCTGTGTCAGAGGCTGATGAGGATAATGATGTGTCTTCCTGATGCAGCTCTGACAGTTCCTGTGTGTTAGAGGCGGCGCCATCTTGCCTGCCTGCTGTGTGAAGCTGTGAGAACTCTGTGAGTTTCTTCCCCCCTTGGTGATTTTCTTCCCCCCCTTGGTGATTTTCTTCCCCTTTGTCATTGCGGGTGGTAAGCGTTACAGGTCTGAGGTCTGTTGCTGTTTATGTCACGGCGATCTCTGATGCCTGATGTTGTTTCGGGTTGCTATTACAGCAGGGTGTGTGAGGAGCTCCTGTCTCAGGCAGCCATCTTCCTGTGCAGCTTGGACACGCCCCTCATGCAGCTCATTTTTGTTCAAGTGTCATCATATCGTGCTCCTTCAAAACAACCACACTGTCTTTTTCCAGAGCAGCCTGGATTTGTTTTGAGGTTGTCCATGGGTTTCCGTTTGTATCCTGAACAATTCTTCTGGCAGTTGTGGCTGCAATCTTTCTTGGTCTACCTGACCTTGGCTTGGTATCAAGAGATCCCTGAACTTTCCACTTCTTAATAGGTGATTGAACAGCACTGATTTCCATATTCAAGGCTTTGGATATCTTTTTATGTCCTTTTCCATCTTTATAAAGTTCCATTACCTTGTTAACGCAGGACTTTTGATAGTTCTTTTCTGATCCCCATGGCTCAGTATCTAGCTTGCTCAGTGCTTCCACGTAAGAGCTAACAAACTCCTTGACTATTTATACACTGACACTAATTGCAATTTAAAAAGCCACAGATGTGGGACATTAACCTCTAATTAGCATTTTAACCCGTGTGTGTCACCTTGTGTGTCTGTACCAAGGCCAAAACATTCCAGGGGGCGGAGACTTCTGATACGGGGGTGGAGACTTCTGATCCGGCCATTTGGGGGATTTCTGTTATCATTATGATTTAAAAAAGGAGCCAAACAACTATTGGATAATAATTGGCTTCATATGATCATCATCCTACATTAAAAGAGCATTTTTTGGCCGATCAGTCATATTTTCAATATCAATGCCAAAATTTCACAATTTCTGCCAGGGTATGTAAACTTTTTAGCACAACTATACCAACGTCCACCACACACCCTTATGTCCAAGTATACCAAGTCCACCGCCACCCCTCTGTCCAAGTATATCACATCCACAGCCACCCCTCTGTCCAAATATGCCACGTCCACCGCCATCCCTCTGTCCAAGTATACCACGTCCACCCCTCTGTCCAATGTTTTGCTCAATCAGATTTGTTTGACAACTTCTGTCTTTCATGAATCCATGCTGTCCGTGGCTTACAATATTTGTTTCCAGCAAGAACTCCTCTCTGTGGTCTTTTATTAAACTCTCCAGTATCTTCCCAACTATAGAAGTTCCACTAACAGGTCTATAATTACTTGGGAAAGATTTTGACCCCTTTATAAATATTGGCCCCACATTGGCCTTACACACCAATCCAGTGGTACTATGCCAGTCATTAAAGAGTCCCTAACAATGAGAAACAATGGCTGTGAGATGACAGAGCTGAATTCTGTAAGGCCCCCCGTGGGTGTCTGCCATCCGGTCCAGGGGCTTTATTCACCTTTATTCTGTACTAAATATTTCTGCATCATATCAATTGTGAGCCAATGTGGATCATCTGGGGGGTGTGTCAGTACCACGCCCATTATGGACAAGAGCCCCCCCCATGCTCCTTTGTATACACAGAGCTGAAGAAGGGATTTCATACATTGTCCTTCTCTTTGTCCCCACCCCCTCTAGATGGTCTGTAAAGGGCCTACATGCTGGGACCGGACCTTTCTACTATTCATATATTGGAGGAATGTTTTGGGGTCGTCCTGATATCTTTCTGTCATTTGTTTTCAATTTTTGCACCTTTATTTCCTTTTTGCATATTCTGTTCTATTCTTTGTAATGTGTAAACGATGATCGCGTTCCTTCATTTTTATATTTAATAATAAAGCTCTTTTCTTATTATCTATAGCTTTTGTAACTTTGGCCGTAAGCCACATAGGTTGGATTTGTAGCCTTTTATACTTGTTGCCCATGGGAATATATTTTGCAGTGTGGTCACATACAGTCTTTGTGAAGAACTCCCATTTCTGTGTTGTGTTCATCGATGCCAATATTCCCTCCCAGTCTAAGTCTTGGAGAGCAATCTCAGCTTTGGAAATTTAGCTCTCTTAAAATTGAGCATTTTTTATTTTTCCCGTATGTGCTTGCTGTTTACAGCTAATAATAAATGAAATCATGTTATGGTCACTGCTACCCAGATGTTCTTTTATATGGACATTCGTAATAAGCTCTGCATGGTTGGAGATGACCAGGTCCAGCAGAGCATCATTCCTAGTTGGGGCCTCTATGACTGTACCATAAAATTGTCCTGTAGTAGGTTTATACATTTTTGTCCTTTAACTGTTCCTGTAGTATCATTACACCAGTCAGTTTCCGGGTAGTTACCATCCCCCATTATTTATCACTGTCCCAGCCCTTGCAGCACTTTCCATCTGTGGGAGGAGCTGAGTCTTCACCTTCTCATTAACACCAGGAGGCCTATAACAAACTCCAATGATGACCTTTGTAGTACCCCCCATGCCCCCCATAATACTTCAGCCTCATCACACTCTCCATCAACTAGGTCCTCTTTTCACACTCGCTCTGAGATCACTTCTCACATAGAGACAGACACCACCACCTTTCCTATTTCCCCATCTCTCCGAAAGAGAACCTAGTCAGGAATATGAATGGCCCAGTCATGTGAGGAATGAAGCCAAGATTCAGCAATACCAATTCAATCCTAGTTCTCTTCATGCACCAAACCTTCCAACTCACCTATTGTGCTGGGCACACTTCTGGCATTGGTGAACAAACACTTTCATTCACTGACACCTTGTTCACACGGATTTTCTGTATTTTTTTATTTTCATATTTTCCCAAATGGTACCAATTCCACTGGTTGTTTGTAATATGGGAACCTTCTTATCATCTGCCATAGCCCTCCCCCATCTTTCCCTATTCCACCCCAATAAGTACTGACCCCTGTCTGATCTGTCTATCCCGTTATAATCAAATTTTCCCTCCCCCTCCATCCTAGTTTATATACTCCTCCAGCCTTCCCATAAACCCCTCCCCCACACAGCAGACCCCCTTCCATTTAGGTGCAGACCATCTCTAGCTTATAGGCTGCACCCCAATGAGAAGTCAGCCCAGTGATCTAGGTCAGGACTCCATTTTTATTCTTCTCCTGCCATCAATGGCCAAGCCGGTCCCACACTTCATCCATGTCTTTGGGGACCTCTGATCTCCTTATGAACTGTTTCTTCCATGATGAAGATCAGCCATGGAGTATATCTGAGGTGTATATCAGGGTGTTTCTTCCCCACATGAGAGCTGGGATGTCCAGCAACATTCATCTAGAAGACATTTCCCGCACTCAAGGCACTAATACACCTCCAGGGTTGTGTGGGACCCCTGATGTACAGGAAGACAGGACTTCAGTGAGGATCATTTCCCTCACTCAGGACAGGAAAGTGGCTTCTCCCCCGTGTGAGATCTCTGATGTTTGACAAGATTGAACTTCCGTGAAAAATATTTCCCGCACTCAGGACAGGAATATGGCTTCTCCCCTGTGTGAGATTTCTGATGTGTGGAAAGATGGGACTTCATTAAAAAACATTTCCCACACTCAGGACAGGAATATGGCTTCTCCCCTGTGTGAGATCTCTGATGTCTGCACAAACGGAACTTTACTGAAAAACATTTCCCGCACTCAGGACAGGAATATGGCTTCTTGTGAGATCTCTGATGTTTGTGATAACTGGACTTCTCTGAAAAACATTTCCCACACTCAGGACAGGAATATGGCTTCTCCTCCATGTGTGAGATTTCTGATGTGTGGAAAGATCGAACTTCCTTGAAAAACTTTTCCCGCACTCAGGACAGGAATATGGCTTCTCCCCTGTGTGAGATCTCTGATGTCTGTGCAGACGAAACTTCACTGAAAAACATTTCCCGCACTCAGGACAGGAATATGGCTTCTTGTGAGATCTCTGATGTGTGTGAAAACTGGACTTCTCTGAAAAACATTTCCCACACTCAGGACAGGAATATGGCTTCTCCCCCATGTGAGATCTCTGATGTCTGCAAAGATGGGTCTTATGTGAAAAACATTTCCCGCATTCAGGACAGGAATATGGCTTCTCCCCTGTGTGAGATCTCTGATGTCTGTGCAGACGAAACTTCACTGAAAAACATTTCCCGCACTCAGGACAGGAATACGGCTTCTCCCCTGTGTGAGATCTTTTATGCACATTAAGATGGTATTTAGAACAGAAATCCTTCCCACACTCAGTACAGGGAAACCTCTTCTCTGTTGGAAGACCGGCCCGGTCCCGCACAGTCTGAGGTTCCTCAGGATACGAGGAATCCGATGGTCCATCTACACTGGGTGGTGCCGGATGGACATTGGAGGGAGCCGGGTTTTCTCCTGGACTATACTGTGTGATGTCCTCATCTTCTACTTTCCAGTCTGGAGACAAAGTGAGACAATCCTCGGAGGTTTTCCTCATCTCCCGGCCATGGACTAAAATACAAAGACAAAGAGGATTACTAGACAGGAGATGATTGGTTCCCCCAAACCAGGACTCCGCCCACATCAGGCAGCTTGGTCTCTGAGGAGCTTACAATTCCACCCTCAAGGGAACTAGGAAATGGCTCCTCTGATCTCCTACCAGGTCATTTCTTTATTCATGGACCTTAGTCAGAGAGTGAGGAAACAACCAGAACTGTCTTTTATAGGAGGGACAGTGATGAGGGGATTATAGGACGAGGGGCTCCACCCCCTTTATCACTCATGTATATATCACATATACATGCAGTGTGTCTTTATACATACAGTGCCACTCGTGTGAACACCCTCCTTTCCACTTCGGCTGCAATGCCTCCTCACCTCCTTCCAGTGACCCCTAGGGGCCTACAAGCCTTTAGGATCACCCTGGATCCTCAAGAATCCTGGTTTGGTACCTCTCTGATACTCCTCCTATTTGGCCTCCTCCACACCTTCACCTTGGTGCCTTATAGGATCCTCACCAGCGATTCTCTGTAAACTCTCACTCACATATTAGTGAGTCAAAAAAGAGAGATCCTCCATAGAGTAATATTTCCAATATGCCAGAGTTTAATTGAAAAACAGCAAAGAGTAACTCACATTTGGTGTACAGCAATCTTCCTTTCCCCTGTATGGGCAAACTGCACACATGTGTTTTACTTCCTGATAACCTGGAAAATGTCGTCCCGTACCGGAAGTGCGTCACTCCGGACACCGGAAATTGCGTCTTAGCGTGCCTACGCGTACGTCACGTGGTCTCGTGACTTCTTCAGGGTGTTCACACGAGTGGCACTGTATATATAAAGACCACACTGCATGTATATGTGATATCACTTGGAGCATATTGATTTGGATTTTGAACATTGGACTATGGATTAAGTTGATGTGGCACCATCACATGATATTGGTTTATTTGGAAGTGGCACTGTCACAAAATGTATATAATTAATGAAATATAAAATAGTGTTGTTTTATGGGATATAATAACATACTTGTATGAATTAAGTGGCACACAAGAGCACTGAGAGGTTTATAGCACTAATCACAGAGTGTACGTATTATGTAGGATTCTATCACTATTATTCACATAAATTATATAGGATTTGTTTTAGTGAATGTTTAGCGCTACACTAGTTTAAATATTTATTGGTTATCCAGGAAGGTTTCACATCTATTACATATTCATGATGGCACAGCCAATAAGAAGGTGAAGGAGAGCTATACATGGCTATCTGAGCATGTGCATCCTTTTAGGTGAATGAAAAATGACTATCCCTTGTTTCCTCTGCATTCATCATTTTTCCATGATTTATTCTCTAGGAGTTCATCCAGTTTCATTGTGTTTTACGAAGGAACAGTCCAAGAAGAACTTTACTTCACTAGGATGATATATATGGAACTTTATTGCTGATGAATACAGAAAGGAAACTCCATTGCCTCATATGGACCTATTCTTGCCCATACAGCCGTTTGTGAAGACGCTGAACGGTTCTTTCATTTTAATTCTCTGATTTTATTATGATTGCAACATGTTCACCATGTTAATGTCAACCTTTCTATGATCCATGTGATCTAATAAATACAACATTGCATTGAACTTTTGTAGTGAATATTACTCCGCATGGGATTTAATTAACCACTTTGTAGGCGGTCATGCACTAGTCAACTGCCATTTTTTTTCTGTGTATGTAATGCACAACATAGAGTATACAGTGTAATGGTTAGGACTCATAATATTGTATTCAGTAATCAGTGGAAGATTAAATGTTTACTTACAAGTTGCAGAGATCCCACACCGCTGCCTCCCATCTCCTGAGACTGCACTCAGTGACTTGGGGCTGAGACACTACAGACATATCCCTCCACCCGGCACAGCCAGCAGATAACAGAGAAGGTCCCCTGGAGGAGTCAGGCACAAGGCAGGAGACCCCAGTCACATGTCCTGGGTGCCTACATTATGCAATGCTTAGAGGTAAAAATGAACATTTTGCTGCCAGCTGAACCCCAGAACCTCCATAAATCCAGTCTAGAGACATAAATTGTGTCTGCAGCACAGAGAAGGAAGATTATCCGAGAGAAATCCAGGAATACAGGACGGGGAACACAGCTCAGGAAAGTGACCAGGGGATTACAGGCTGATATCACCCAGTCCCCGCCCTACTCTGGACCAATCAGTGAGCAGTATGGGTGGAGGAATGGATTTAGTGTTCATGACCCACCTGTGCTGATCTCTGTAGGAGTGTCCTCCTCTATAAATGTCCCCGTTATTCCATCCTCCTCCATAGACTGCTGATCATCCCTCACATACGCCTCTTCTTCTTCTGATTTCACCTCAAATTCTATATCGATTGGATCTCCACTCTAAATCAAGGAAATGAGAGAAAATATCATCTGTAAATATAAGGTCACATAAACAATCCACACATAATCTTTACAAGTCCATGTTCTAGATCCTCCATCCCACCAACCTTGCAACAGTGAGGGATGGTGTGACCTTCCTGTGTGGAATCCGGGAATACAGAGGACGGGGACATCTCTCTGGTGGGTTCCTGGTATTAGGTGGCTCCATCATATCCTTGTGTCCTTCTGAAAACTCCTCCATCACTCCATACTCCTCATCCTCCTCTTTATACTCTTCTTTAACATCAATATTATCATCCCCGAGGATTCCACTCTGAAAGATATAATAAAACATTCATTGTAACAAACATGCTGTGTATAAATCACAACTACCAATAATTGTCATCATCTACCTGATGATGGTGAGGGATGGTGTGACCTTCCTGTGTGGAATCCCGGGAATACAGAGGACGGGGACATCTCTGTGGTGGGTTCCCATGACTGGATCCATCTGTAGGAAACACACACACTGACTGAATCCATTGTTTCTATGTGTTTATCAGATGATGGGGGATCTAGGTGGATCCTCCGTACTGCTCTCTCCTTTACAATAAAGTCTCCTCTTACCCGGTGATGTGAGGGGCGGCTGATTGTCCATCATGACGTCCTTGTAGAGATCCTTGTGTCCTTCTAAATACTCCCCACTCCTCCATGGAGAAATAGACAGTGACACCCTGACACCTTATAGGAACCTGACACACACAATGATACAGTCACCATCCAGACACATCCCTTGTCTGTTACTGGAGAATGTCCCAGAATTCCCGGCACCGCTCACCTCTCCTGTCAGCAGCTCCATCATCTTCTTGGTGACTTCTAGAATCTTCTGCATGTGTGTCTCTCAGGGTTTAGGGAGTCACATGGAGGCACTGTGATGGTCATATGATCACCTGACTTCAGAAGAGGAAATCTCTGTATTGAGGGACCAATAGGAATATCATGTTAGACTCCCAGAATCCTCCTCACCTCTCCGGTCAGGTCTGTGTTTTATTAATAGAGATAAGAGTGATGTCATGTGACCTCCCAGAATCCTCCTCACCTCTCCTGTCAGGTCTGTGTGTTTTATTAATAGAGAGGAGAGTGATGTCATGTGACCTCCCAGAATCCTCCTCACCTCTCCGGTCAGGTCTGTGTTTTATTAGTAGAGATGAGAGCGATGTCATGTGACCTCCCAGAATCCTCCTCACCTCTCCGGTCAGGTCTGTGTTTTTTAACAGAGATGACAGTGATGTCATGTGACCTCCCAGAATCCTCCTCACCTCTCTGGTCAGGTCTGTGTTTTATTAATAGAGATAAGAGGGATGTCTCCCAGAATCCTCCTCACCTCTCCGGTCAGCAGGTAGATGATCTCCAGGGTGAGGTTTAGTATCTTCTCAGTCATGTGACTCCGGTCCTCCTCCATCCTCATTGGTGCCATCATGTGATCTATACAGGTCTCCTTGTAGACGGATAACTTTGGAAAATGAAAGTAAGAATTACACTCACCGGCCACTTTATTAGGTCCACCTTGCTAGTGCCAAGAAAATCTCCCCCCCACCATCACACCACCAGCCTGAACCGTTGATACAAGGCAGGATGAATCCATGCTTTCATGTTGTTTAGGCCAAATTCTGACCTTACCATCTGAATGGCACAGCAACCAGTCTGCCCATTCTCCTCTGACATATGCAAAGCCTTTTTCCTCCATGCAACTGCAGCTCACTGGATATTTTCCCTTTTTCGGACCGTTCTCTGTAAACCTCAGAGATGATTGTGTGTGGAAAATCCCAGTAGATCCGCAGTTTTTGAAATACCCAGACCAGCTTGCCTGACACCAACAACCACAAAATATTCAAAGTCCCTTTAATCCCCTTTCTTTCCCATTCTGATACTCAGTTTGAACTTCAGCAAGTTGTCTTCACCATGTCTAGATGCCTAAATGCATTGAGTTGCTGCCATGTGATTGGCTGATTAGCAGTTTGTGTTACCCAGCAATTGAACAGGTGGACCTGATAGGAAGGCCAGTGAGTGTATTTGGATGTATTGGTCACCGGACACTTCCACCCCCTTCCTGACCAGAACACTTTTCAGATGTCAGTGCTTTCGCAGTTTGGATGACAATTGCGCGGTCATATACAGTACTATTCTAGGCCCTGCCTAGTCTGGGCAAAAAGTGTGTCCCATTCCCAATGTGTCCAACTGCATGAAAATCCATCCAAATTCAATATAAATCCCTCATAAATACTGAATAGAAAAATAAAATCGATATTAAATAGTTCTTTTATATCAGTTGATGTGCTTGTGCCTCTCCAATCACACTGCGCCAACCGACCGTGCGGAATAAAGTGCCTTGTGCCTCTCCAATCACACTGCGCCAACCGACCGTGCGGAATAAAGTGCCTTGTGCCTCTCCAATCACACTGCGCCAACCGACCGTGCGGAATAAAGTGCCTTGTGCTCCTCCTTTCATCCAAGTGCAGATCTCGTGCTCCCCCTCCAGTGCTCCCCTCCAGTGCCCCCCCTCCAGTGCTGCTCTCCAGTGCTCCCCCTCCAGTACTCCCCCTCAGTGCTACCCCTCCAGTGCTCTCCTTTCAGTGCTCCCCCTCCAGTGCTCCCCTCCCCCACCACAGGATGTGGACTCTTATACTGGAATAGGAGTCCTATGTGCTGTGTCATGGTCCTGGTTAGTCTGGAGCTTGTAGTCCTCCTGGATGATTGTGTACAATTCCCCCCCCCAATATATCATACAACTGATGGTTCATCTCATGATGTATGCAGGGAGGAGATAACAACAATCACCCACATGGTGTCATTCCATTTATTACAAACTTCCTTTACAGCAAACCATCTACACTCACATTTGTATATAATATACAAGCAAAATGTCCGACCGAAAGTGTCCCATCCACATGAGTCTCACCATTCGGGAATTACATCACCGCAGCCGTCACTGACGCATTTCCCCTCCTCTAGGGCTGTAAGAGGATTGGCTGCTGGTGGTAGATGGTCTTATTTATACTGTGTGTCTCCATATCTCCGAGCCCACTTCCCCTTCCTGTCCTAACCCGGTGTCACCTCCGTTTCCTCCCGTGGCCTTGCGTGGTCATGCAACACTGAACCCAAATGACATTTGTATCATTTTTTAGACAGATAGAGCTTTCTTTGGGTGGTACAGTATTTATTCACCACTAACGGGGGTCATTTATTGCTAAACAAAAAAAAAAAGAACAATAATTTTGAAGAAAAAAACTTTTTTCTTCATTTGTTATAAAATTTTGCAAAAAAGTTATTTTTCTCCCTCAATGATAGGCACTGATAAAGCTGCACTGATGAACAGGCACTGATGGGGCTGCATTGGTGGGCACTGATATGCTGCACTGATAATCACAGTAAATGTCCCCTGTCACAGGAAAGCCGGTTATCGGTTTCCTTTCCTTTCCTCAGACAGTGACAGCGCTGAGGACAGGAAATCCCAATAACCGGCTTTTGTTAACATGTGATCAGCTGTGATTGGATACAGCTGATCACATGGTAAAGAGACAACATCATTGGATCTTTTCCCTGATCAGTGATTTTTGCGTTGAGCTCCACACCAATCACCATGCTGCGTCCCCCTCCACCTGCACAGCAAGAGTGGGAGGACATCATACAACGTCCTTCCAGAAGGAGAGAGGTCCTGTCCGCCATCATTGTACAATAGGCCGGGTGGGAACCAGTTCAGGACTTCTGTCCTCCTGGAAAACACATTTAGTTTGGAGTGTTTAGTGTTTTGATGCATATTTGAGGTCCCGGACCCTCTTGTCCATCCAGATCAGAAATCCCCTTTTCTCTGTTGGGTTTGTTTGGTCTCTGAACTGGTTTTGATGAGTTTTAGATCTGCAGACAAGGAATGATAAATCTGATCCTTCCTATGACTTGTTTGCTCTGAGGCAGTGCTGTGAGGTCAATGTCGGCTCATCATGAGGTCCAGGAAGGGGAACTTGATGACTTTTGGCCGGAGTTCCCTGTTAATCAGGATAATTGCCAGACCTCCGGCTGCAAGACTCCAATCTCCAGCAGCCTGCTGACTGACAGGAGTGATGTCACTGTCACTCTCTGCAGTAAGAGAAGGGATTGGATTGGATAGCAGGAGGATGGTGCTGGTGGAGTAGAGAGAGCTGTGGGGGAGGAGTCTGTTCTCTTCCCTCCAATGGCAGCCCAGTGTGGGTAGGAGGACAGTAGGGGGTTCTCTTGGTTGCCAAGTATACTGTGATATCCAGGACATTGTACAGAGTGGTGGTGGGTTCCTGGGGCTCTGTATTCCAGCACCGGGCACTGCCAGAGCCTGTGTCATGGGAAGGTATTTGAGTGTCTCCTGAAGATGTTCAGCACTGACCCCTGACTACCTTTTAGGCAATGCTGCAGAAACTGACGTCCTCTAAGAAGAGTGCCCACCAAGGGCCAAGAGTCCTTCAACTACTCTACCTCCTTAAGGCCCTGAGCTCCACTACCCCCTCAGGGGCCCCAAAGTTCCTTATCTGTAGTACCCTGAGAGAACCCTCAGCTCCTTTACTTCCCTCCGACCCCTCAGTATTTTTCCTCCCTCTGACACCAATGATGGAACATATTCTTCATGGCCGGCTGGGGAATGTTTCCTTCCTCCTGAGCAGCAATGTAAGGGGCTCTATGCTCCATACTCCTGACCCCCGGCACTCCATCATTGTGTTGGCTGCATAGTGTAATGATTGCCCATTGGCTGCCTGTGTAGTGTCATCATTGCCCTTTGTAGGCATGTATGGTCAGGATGGTCCTTGTCTTTGTCTATTTATTGTCAGTGCTGTTTGTTTAGAGGACCATATTACTAGAATTTATCTCCACAATGAGGAGAATGTTCCGGCCCCGGAAGTGGGGGAATGTTCTGCCCCTGAAGGGTTCATCTGGGTTCCCACACTATATATGTGTGTATCATCATCTGCTGGAGATAAAAGATGTCACAGTGACTATGGAGGAAGAGGACGGACATGACTATGGAGGAAGAGGAAACGACGTGACTATGGAGGAAGAGGACGAACGTGACTATGGAGGAAGAGGACGGACGTGACTATGGAGGAAGAGGACAGACGTGACTATGGAGGAAGAGGACGGACGTGACTATGAAGGAAGAGGACGGACGTGACAGGGGTTACTGGGTGTAAATAGGAAATAACATGTTTTTACCTCCTCTGCTGCCACTTCCAGCAATGTCTGTACCTGACATCACTTCCTGTCTGTACCTGACATCACTTCCTGTCTGTCTTCCATAGAGACTTGCCTGTCTGGGTAGAAGTGAGATCCCCACCTTGTGGAGCTCAGAGGAACTGCAGCCCCGAGAAGCGTCTGGTAGTGTGACCCCAGCCTTGTGCTGGGTGTGTATGGACTGTAGATCCTTATAGAGGGGTCACCTCCACTCCCACCAAGGGGGACAGAAATATATGACTGCTCGGGGGAGGGGTTTTGGCCCCTTTGATTTTGCAGTAACATTGATTGCAGATTTAGTCCTGTAGAACATCTGGTATATGGATACAAAGCCCCCCAGCTGGGAGTAAAGGGTGGAAATGGCTGGTGACCCCCAGATTTGGGCAATGATGTCATCACTATAAATGGATAAAACCCGCGCTATGTGTAACAACTCCAAACCTACAAAAACCTTCTAGCGGACTGCTGCTGTAACAAAGGGAAGGATTCCCTGTCATCTAGAAGAGCATTATGTGTCACAGCGCTGTCCTATTGTGTGTGCACAGAAATCATCACAAATACACTACAAATATGTGGAGGACATTCAGAGATAAAGAGCTCGGGGCTCCAAAACCTCCCATCCTATTCTCTGCACATCCACTGCTTCCACTTTACACCCCACTTCATTGGTCTTATGGGTTTATCAATAAATGAAGGAAAACTGAACCGTGTGCAAATCCATCCACAACATAAAGTGCTTTGTGCTCAAGATGCTGCTCCCTGCAGATCCACTGCTTCCACTTTACACCCACTTCATTCATCTCATCAGATTTGCTGCTATAGGAAATAATCTCAAATCCTGTGCAAATCCATGGAGACAGACAATATTGTGTGCTCAGTATAGTGTTCTCTGCAAGTCCACTGCTTCCACTTTGCATCTACTTCAATCCACTTATTTTACTCCAAAAATCCACCAATCAGTAAAAAGTTGATAAGGTGTGAAAGTGCTCCGCCCTCCAAACTGTGTCAGCTGTAGTGTAGCCCGCCTTCTTCCACCTCTTGTACACGGGATGGTGAGGGCGCCCCCTAGTAGTGCTTCCCCCTCACCACACCAATAGGACTCCCAGCTTTTCAGCTCCCAGAGTCACAAACATCCTTCACACTCTCCTCATCTCTGATGGTAAAGGAACCGGATCCTCCTCGCTCACTCCTGCAAGTCTGCTGCGGGTTCTGTCAGTCTCCCTCCTAGACTCCGCCTCCGACCGCCATTCCAGCAGGAGCTCCGCCTCTAAATACACACTCAGGGAGGAGAGAAAGGGGAACCCGACATCATGTGACACCTTTTATTACATGGAAATACGAAAATCAACGGGACTAATGCAATCACATTTACTGCAAAGTCAAAGGAGCCAAAAAACCCCTCCCCCGAGCAGTCATATATTTCTGTCCCCCTTGGTGGGAGTGGAGGTGACCCCTCTATAAGGATCTACAGTCCATACACACCCAGCACAAGGCCGGGGTCACACTACCAGACGCTTCTCGGGGCTGCAGTTCCTCTGAGCTCCACAAGGTGGGGATCTCACTTCTACCCACACAGGAAGTCTATATGGAAGACAGACAGGAAGTGATGTCAGGTACAGACAGGAAGTGATGTCAGATACAGACAGGAGTTCCAGGGGAAACGTGAGTAAGGAGGAATCAGAGAAGACATTGTTGGATCTGGCAGCAGAGGAGGTAATATGTAGATGAACCACTTCAGGGGGAGGAGTGTTGATGATAATATATTTGCCCCCAAAGCTGGCCTACATGGTTCAGTTGTATCATTCAGCCAGCGGGATGACCATAAAACTGAACCGATTCCCCCATCCACACATTGGAGGTGGATGGGGGAATCCTCCCCGCTGCACTCTTGTATTCTGACAATGGGGGGACTCCTCTTCCGCTCTCAGAATACACAGATCAGCACAGAAGCTATTGGCTGCAGCCGCTGGGGGAGTGGCTTTTATCCGGCAGTGACCACACATGGATGGAAATGTGAGCGATCCCTGCTGAACCAGCTGAATTTCCATGGATCTATGGTCACCTTCAGTGACTTTCTCCCCTCCCCCTCATCTCCTTCATGATGGAAGTCATGCTGAGATCATCTCCCATTGGCTGAGCAATATTCTCATTTGTCTCTCAGCTCCTTCCTGCTATTCTCACAGCTCCTCCTCCCAATGTCCCTCCATCCGGAGTCAGAGAATCCTATGTGTGAACCGGAACCCCCAGAACCACACTTGGGTATATTCCGTTATACCGCAGCTTCCCCTCTCCGAACACCATCCACGGACCACATCCTTGGAATCCCTCAGGAATCAGACAGCACCCGGCTCTTCTTAAAACAGGAAGCCAACAACTCTTTATTTTACACAAACATGTTTCATACAGAGAGCGGGGAAAGACAACCAGGGACAGGAAACACCTCATCAGCCCCCCCATCAGTTGGGAGGGCTACAGTGTGGGCAGGAAACACCTCATCACCCCTCCCCATCCAACCAAGACACAGAACAATGGGATAGCACATGGCAAGGACAGTAGACAGCCATGTGGCTGAGACAAAGGAATAACCATCTGGCAGTACAATACAGGAACACATGCATCCCATAATAGTTTGCTGGCCAGCATGACACAGAACAATGGGATGAAACACATGGCATAGAGCATAGGCAACCATGTGGCAGGGACAAAGGAACACGCACTATACACAATAGAGTGAGGAACAGAAGTATTTGAACACCCCTGCGATTCTGCAAGTTCTCCCACTTCTCCATCATGGAGGGGTCTGACATTCACATTGTAGGTGCATTCCCACTCTGAGAGACAGAATTAAAAAAAACAATTCAGGAAATCCCATTGTATGATTTGTAAAGAATGTATTTGTCTCGCACTGCTGAACAGAAGTATTTGAACCCCTGAGAAGATCCGTGTTAATATTTGGTACAGAAGCCTTTGTCTGCAATTACAGAGGTCAGACGTTTCCTGTAGTTCCTGACCAGGTTTGCACTGCAACAGGGATTTTGGCCGACTCCTCCACACAGATCTCCTCTAGATCTGTCAGGTTTCGGGGCTGTCGCTGAGCAACACGGAGTTTCAGCTCCCTCCAAAGATGTTCTATTGGATTTAGGTGTGGAGACTGGCTAGGCCACTCCAGAACCTTGATATGCTTCTTACGGAGCCACTCCTTGGTTCTCCTGGCTGTGTGCTTCGGGTCGTTGTCATGTTGGAAGACCCAGCCACGACCCATCTTCAATGCTCTGACTGAGGGAAGGAGGTTGTTGCTCAAAATCTCACAAGAAATGGTCCCATTCATCCTCTCCTTAATACAGTGCAGTCGTCCTGTCCCCTTCGCAGAAAAGCACCCCCAAAGCATGATGTTACCTCCTCCATGCTTCACAGTAGGGATGGTGTTCTTGGGATGCAACTCATCCTTCTTTTTCCTCCAAACACGACGAGTGAAGTTTAGACCAAAAAGTTCTACTTTGGTCTCATCTGACCACATGACTTTCCCCCATGCCTCCTCTGCATCATCCAGATGGTCATTGGCAAACTTCAGACGGGCCTGGACATGTGATGACTGGAGCAGGGGAACCTTCAGACGGGCCTGGACATGTGATGACTGGAGCAGGGGAACCTTCAGACGGGCCTGGACATGTGATGACTGGAGCAGGGGAACCTTCAGACGGGCCTGGACATGTGATGACTTGAGCAGGGGAACCTTCCGTGCAATGCGTGATTTGAAACCATGACAGCGTAGTGTTCTACCGACAGTGACCTGTGAAACTGTGGTCCCAGCTCTCTTCATGTCATTGACCAGCTCCTCCCTTGTAGTTCTGGGCTGATTCCTCACCTTTCTTATCATCAGTGATACCCCACGAGGTGACATCTTGCATGGAGCCCCAGTCCGAGGGAGACTGACAGTCGTCTTTAGCCTCTTCCATTTTCTAACAATGCTCCAACAGTTGATCTATTTTCACCAAGCTGCTTGGCAATTGCCCCGTAGCCCTTTCCAGCCTTGTGGAGGTCCACAATTTTGTCTCTGGTGTCTTTTGACAGCTCTTTGGTCTTGCCCATGGTAGTAGTTGGCGTCTGACTGACTGTGGGGTGGACAGGTGTCTATAAAGAGCTCAGACAGGTGATACTAAGTTAGATGAATGAGTGGAGTAGAGGTGGACTTTATAAAGGCGCAGTAACGGGTCTTTGAGAGCCAGAATTCTTGCTGTTTCTCAGGTGTTCAAATACTTCTGTTCCTCACTGTATCAAGACATTCACATTTACACACCCTGTACCCTAACGGACACAGGGTCACTTAAACATAATGATTTGGGAAGATAATACAGCGGTCCCCCCACACCCAAAAGTCACTCCCGTCACACTATGACATCACACTGACCTCACAGCTCCTCCTCCCAATGTCCCTCCACCCAGAGTCAGAATCCTATGACATCACACTGACCTCACGGCTCCTCCTCCCAATTTCCCTCCACCCAGAGTCAGAATCCTATGACATCACACTGACCTCACGGCTCCTCCTCCCAATGTTCCTCCATCCAGAGTCAGAGAATCCTATGACATCACACTGACCTCACAGCTCCTTCTCCCAATGTCCCTCCATCCAGAGTCAGAGAATCCTATGACATCACACTGACCTCACACTCTCCTCCTCCCAATGTCCCTCCATCCAGAGTCAGAGAATCCTATGACATCACACTGACCTCACAGCCTCCTCCCCAATGTCTCCATCCAGTCAGAGAATCCTATGACATCACACTGACCTCACAGCTCCTCCTCCCAATGTCCCTCCATCCCGAGTCAGAGAATCCTATGACATCACACTGACCTCACAGCTGCTCCCCCCAATGTCCCTCCATCCCGAGTCAGAGAATCCTATGACATCACACTGACCTCACAGCTCCTCCCCCCCCCAATGTCCCTCCATCTGGCTTTTTTTTTCTGATGTTCTGAGGATGTCAGCAGGTACTTACTATTCTCACTAGCAGAGAAGAACTGTTTGTCCTGTTATATGTAATGACATCAGAATTGCTCATGCCAAGCTTTACCCTGAGTTATGTGGGGGTCCTGTGGGGGAGAAATTATACCTCAGCCTGAAGTGGGGCTTTAATAAAATGGAGACCTGAATGGAGAGGTGAGGAGGATTCTGGGAATATCATTTGATGTGACTATTTGTGTTCAGATGTAGAGTTTTCCTCCTGTGAAGTCTGGAGATCATATGACATCACATTGCCTCCACCTCCCTCCCTGATAGAAGAGAGAAAGAAGAAGAAGATTCTAGAAGTCACCAGAGAGATCACTGAGCTGCTGACAGGAGAGGTGAGCGGTGCCGGGAATTCTGGGACATTCTCCAGTAACAGACAAGGGATGTGTCTGGATGGTGACTGTATCATTGTGTGTGTCAGGTTCCTATAAGGTGTCAGGGTGTCACTGTCTATTTCTCCATGGAGGAGTGGGAGTATTTAGAAGGACACAAGGATCTCTCTACAAGGACGTCATGATGGACAATCAGCCGCCCCTCACATCACCGGGTAAGAGGAGACTTTATTGTAAAGGAGAGAGCAGTACGGAGGATCCACCTAGATCCCCCATCATCTGATAAACACATAGAAACAATGGATTCAGTCAGTGTGTGTGTTTCCTACAGATGGATCCAGTCATGGGAACCCACCAGAGAGATGTCCCCGTCCTCTGTATTCCCGGGATTCCACACAGGAAGGTCACACCATCCCTCACCATCATCAGGTAGATGAGGAACAATCACTGATAGTATCATTAGGATCTGTACATTATCTGCATTGTTACCATTGATGGCATTTTTTATTATATATTCAGAGTGGAAACCTGAGAGATCCTAAAGTTGAGGTTAAAGAAGAGATAAAAGAGGAGGAGGATGAGGATGGGGGGATGGAGGAGTCAGAGCTTCTAAGAAGAACACAAAGATCTGTACCAGGACACCATGGTGGAGTCATCCAGCTACAGGAACCCACCAGAGAGATGTCCCCGTCCTCTGTATTCCCGGGATTCCACACAGGAAGGTCACACCATCCCTCACCATCATCAGGTAGATGATTGACAATTATTGGTAGTTGTGATTTATACACAGCATGTTTGTTACAATGAATGTTTTAATAAACTCTGCAGCTGATCAACTCCATGACAGCATCCTCCCCCTGTCCTGCCCCGACTTGGCTATGACCGCCTACAACAATGCACTCTCAACAGCCCTTGACTCACTAGCGCCTTTAACCACGCGCAACATCAGACCCCGACCGCTCCAGCCCTGGCAGACTGATCACACCAAAACCCTCAAATGACACGGTCGTGCCCTGGCGACTATGGCACAAAATCAAATCCCAACAAGCCTTCACCCGCTACAAATCTGCCTTCCACACCTACACCTCCTCCCTCCACGCAGCCAAACAAGCCTACTTCTTGACCCTCATCAAGGCCCTCTCCTCCAATCCTCGCCGACTCTTCTCCACCTTCAACTCTCTACTCTCTCCACCCCCACCTCCACCCAGCACCTCACTCACCGCCCTTGAGATTGCCAATCACTTCAGAAACAAGATTGACACAATTCGCAGGGACATCGCCGCAACTCACACACCCCCTCTCAACCCGTCCCCTCTCACACAGCTACCCCCTCATCTCCCCTCCCCCTCAACATAACCTGCAGGGACTTCGTCGCTGCTCAAACTCCCTCCAACCCCGTTCCCCCTCACTCAGCTACCCCCTCATCACCCCTCCCCCACGGCCCCACCACTGCTCTGACCTCCACTTCCACCCCACCCTACATTCCTCATACTGAAGCCCCCCCAACAATCTGCACCTTTGACCTTACTACCATCGAGCAAGTCTCCAAGATCCTCTCTGATGCCCGCCTCACCACCTGCCCCCTCGACCCTATCCCCTCACAACTCCTACGACCTCCCTCCCCCTCCATCCTACGCTCCCTCACCCACATCTTTAATCTCTCCCTCTCCTCCGGCACTTTCCCCTCCCCTCTGAAACTCGCACACATCACCCCCATACTTAAAAAGCCCTCCCTGGACCCCAATGACCCGAACAACCTCAGACCCATCTCCCTGCTCCCATTTACATCCAAACTCCTCGAGCGCCTAGTCTACACCCGCCTATGCTCTCAACTCAACGACAACAACCTCCTCGATCCCCTACAGTCCGGCTTTCGTCCCCTACACTCCACCGAAACCGCCTTACACTCCACCGAAACCGCCTTACTCAAACTCTCCAACGACCTGCTAACCGCCAAAGCTAATGGCCACTATTCAGTGCTCCTACTCCTCGACCTCTCCGCGTCCTTCGACACAGTTGACCACCCCCTCCTCCTCAAAAAACTACACTCCCTCAGCCTCAGAGATTCTGCTCTCTCCTGGCTCTCATCCTACCTGTCACAACGCTCTTTCATCGTTACCTATAATTCTACCACCTCCTCCTCCTCCTCTCTGTTGGGGTCCCTCAAGGCTCCGTCCTCGGGCCCCTTCTCTTCTCCATCTACACCTCCTCCCTTGCCAACTCATACACTCTCACGGCTTCAACTACCACCTCTATGCCGATGACACACAAATCTATCTCTCAACCCCCCACCTCACCCCCTCGGTCTCTGCCCGAATCACACACCTACTGAGCGACATATCAGACTGGATGTCGCTCCACTTCCTTAAACTGAACCTCTCCAAAACCGAGTTTCTTGTCTTCCCCCCAGCCCGGACACCACTCCCCATTGACTTCTCTATCACATCCAACAATGTCACCATCAAACCCGCCCCACAGGCCAGAGTACTTGGTGTCATTCTGGACTCCAACCTATCCTTCCAGCCCCAAGTCCAATCTTAAACAAACTCGTGCAGACTCCGCCTCCGCAACATGCAGACTCCACCTCCGCAACATCGCCAAAATCCGCACGTTCCTAACCCCTGAAAACACTAAACAGCTCATCCACTCCCTCATCATATCACGACTCGACTACTGCAACTCCCTCCTCACTGGCCTGCCTCGCCGCTGGCTATCCCCGCTTCAGTCCATCCTGAATACGGCTGCCAGACTCATTCACCTTTCCAATCGCTCCATCTCCGCCACCCCCCTCTGCCAATCCCTCCACTGGCCTCCACTCAGTGTCCTCCACCCCCCTCTGCCAATCCCTCCACTGGCTTCCGATTGCGCAACGGATCAAATTCAAAATCCTAACACTGACGTACAAAGCTGTCCACCATACTGCCCCGAACTACATCACTGACCTAATATCCAAGTACCGCCCAGCACGCACACTCCGCTCCTCACAAGACCTCCTTCTCTCTAGTTCCCTGGTCTCCTCCTCCTATGCCCGCCTCCAGGACTTCTCCAGGGTGTCACCCATCCTCTGGAACTCCCTGCCCCAACCCATCAGATTATCACCTACTCTCCTCTCCTTTAGGCGCACCCTGAAAACCCATCTCTTCAGGGAAGCCTACCCCACCCCCTGCTAACCTGCCGACCTCCTCCACTCTTCCTACCACTCCATCCCCCCCCCACAGCTATCTCCTCCTGTGCCACCATCCCCTCCCTCCTAGATTGTAAGCTCGAAAGAGCAGGGCCCTCAATCCCCTCATGTATGGCATTGTATTGGTATTGTTCTGTCACATGTTCTGTTCCCCTTTGTAATGTACAGCGCTGAGCGAACTATCGGCGCTTTATAAATACTATATAATAATAATATCTTTCAGAGTGGAATCCTCGGGGATGATAATATTGATGTTAAAGAAGAGTATAAAGAGGAGGATGAGGAGTATGGAGTGATGGAGGAGTTTTCAGAAGGACACAAGGATATGATGGAGCCACCTAATACCAGGAACCCACCAGAGAGATGTCCCCGTCCTCTGTATTCCCGGGATTCCACACAGGAAGGTCACACCATCCCTCACTGTTACAAGGTTGGTGGGATGGAGCATCTAGAACAGCGGTTCTCAACCTGGGGGTCGCGACCCCCATCAGCAGCTATGTCGAACGACCATTTCCCAGGGGTCGCCTAAGACCATCGGAAAAACATATTTCCGATGGTCTTAGGAACCGAGACACCGCTGCTGTCTCCGGCGATGTGTGGGCGGGATGATATGCTGCCCCTGTCACCGCCTCCTCGCCGCTGATTGGCCACCGGAACTGTAGCTCAGGAGAGGCACACAGGCGGCCAATCACCGGCGAGAAGGTGGAGCTTGGAGAGGAGGAGCCCGAGCGGCAGCGCGCGGAGATCGAAGAAGATCGAGGGAGCTGCAGGAACGAGTGAAGAGAGAGGCCAGAGAAGGAAGACAGCTGACAGGTAAGTGCAAATTTTGCTGCTGCAGCCAGGTATGCAGGCTGTAGATGGGAGAGGGAGAGAGCGAGCCCAGGCTGGAGCAGGAGTCAGCAAGGTAAGTATCATTGGTGTCAGTGGAAGGGATAGTGCCCCATCATTTGTGTCACTAATACCAACGATGTATTGTGTGAGGGCACTATTCCTCCCCCCACTGACACCAACGATAGGGCACTATTCCTCCCCCCACTGACACCAACGATGAGACAGTATTCCTCCCCTCACTGACACCAACGATGGGGCACTATTCCTCCCCCCACTGACACCAACGATGGGGCACTATTCCTCCCCCCACTGACACCAACGATGGGGCACTATTCCTCCCCCCACTGACACCAACAATGGGGGCACTATTCCTCCCCCCACTGACACCAACGATGGGGCACTATTCCTCCCCCCACTGACACCAACGATGGGGCACTATTCCTCCCCCCACTGACACCAACGATGGGGCACTATTCCTCCCCCCACTGACACCAACGATGGGGCACTCTTCCTCCCCCCACTGACACCAACGATGGGGCACTCTTCCTCCCCCCACTGACACCAACGATGGGGCACTATTCCTCCCCCCACTGACACCAACGATGGGGCACTATTCCTCCCCCCACTGACACCAACGATGGGGCACTATTCCTCCCCCCACTGACACCAACGATGGGGCACTATTCCTCCCCCCCCACTGACACCAACGATGGGGCACTATTCCTCCCCCCACTGACACCAACGATGGGGCACTATTCCTCCCCCCACTGGAACACCAATGATGGGGCACTATTCCCCCCCACTGACACCAATGATGGAGACACTATTCCTCCCACTGACGCCAATGATGGGGCACTATTCCTCCCACTGACAAAAATGATGCACATTCCTCCCACTGACAAATGATGGGGCACTATTCCTCCCACTGACACCTGACTGGGCACTATTCCTCCCACTGACACCAATGATGGGGCCTCCCACTGACACCAATGATGGGGCACTATTCCTCCCACTGACACCAATGACACTAACATTATTTCTTGGAAACACTGACACCAATGAGGTGGGCAAAAGATTGAGGTGACACCAATGATGGGGGTCCTTGGGACTATTTTCCTCCCACTGACCAATGATGGGACACTATTCCTCCCACTATACCAACGATTCACTATAGTCTCCCACTGACACCAATGATGGGGCACTATTCCTCCCACCACTGACACCAATGATGGGGCACTATTCTCCTCCCACTGACAGTCAATGATGGGACACACCCACTGATACTCCAACGATGGGACACTATTCCTCCCACTGACACCAATGATGGGGCCTCCTGATTCCTCCCAAACTTCCACCAATGGGGGATTTTCGGGCACTAACACCTTTATGACACTCCGATCTAGATGGGGCACTCTCTTTTGGGGTTCACCAATGATGGGACACTGACACCAAAACGATGGGACACTATTCCTCCCACTAGACACAATGATGGGGTGCTATTCCTCCCACTGACCCCAATGTTGGGGCACTATTCCTCCCCTTGACTAACCCCAATGGACATTATTTTATTCCTCCCACTGACGGGACACTATGAGACACCAATGAAGGGGCACTATTCCTCCCACTGACACCAAACAATGGGACTATTCTGGACTGTAACACCAATTGATGGGGGACTATTCCTCCCACTGACACCAATGATGGGACACTATTCCTCCCACTGACACCAATGATGGTACACTATTCCTTGGTGGAGTCACTGGCCTGATACCAACGATGGGGACACTATTCCTCCCACTGACACCCAATGATGGGGCACTATTCCCAAGCAATGACACCAATGATGGGGCACCTATTCCTCCCACTGACACACCAATGATGTTTTGCTATTCCCCCCACTGATACCAACATGGACACTATTCCTTCCCACTGACACCACAATGATGGGCACTATTCCTCCCATGACACCAAAAATGGGACACTATTCCTCCCCCTCACTGATTTTCCATTTAGGGGCACTATTCCTCCCACTGACATCCTTGGGACACTATTCCCCCCACAGACACCTGCATGATGGGGTACTATTCCCCCATGAATGATGGGACACTATTCCTCCCACAGGACGCCAATGATGGGGCACTATTCCTCCCACTGACACCATGATGACATTCCACCCCCACTCAACACACCAATGATGGGGCACTATCCCTCCCACTCCCACTGAACATGATGGGACACTATTCCTCCCACTAACACCGATGATGGGGCACTATCCCTCCCACTGACACCAATGATGGGGCACTCTTCCTCCCACTGTACAGGAATGATCCTTCGACACTATTCCTCCCACTGACACCAATGATGGGGATTCCTACCCACTGACACCAATGAGGAGCGGCCATCCATCTTTCACTGGACACCTGATGGGAGTCCTCCCTGACACGTAATGATGGGGCTCCATTTTCCCACTGACCCAATGATGGGTCACTATTACTCCCATCACATATCAGGCACTATCCCTTCTCCACTGACACCAATGCATGGGGCACTATTCCTCCCATGACACCATGGGGACACTATTCTGAATGAGTGACACAAAATGATGGGGCACTGATTCCTCCCACTGTTAAGATGGGGCACATATATTCCTCTCACTGAACCCATTGGCACTATTCCTCCCACTGATTACCAGAAATGGAGGCACTATTCCTCCCATGGTATGACATGGTATGATGGGGGACATGGATTCACATGGGCTGATAAGAGGAGACTGGGGCCTGACCCACATGACACCAATGATGGGGCACTATTTTCCACCACTCACTCAATATTGGGACACCTATTCCTCCCACTGACTGACAGGAACAATGATGGGCACTGGATCCCACTGATTTCCAATGACGTGGCACTATCCCATCCAATCCAAAATGACAATTATGAAGTAGACGAAAATAAATATTTTATGGGGGGGTCACCACAGACATGAGGAACTGTATTAAGGGGTCATTAGAAGAGGTCCTACCAGATCTAGAAATGGACTGAATCAGGGTCATGATTTTTTCATATAAGCTTATATCCATTTTCATTTTCTTGATTTAGAGTGGAGATCCACGATATAGAATTTGATCAGTGAAAGCAGAAGAACTAGAAGAGGCGTATGGAGGGATGATCAGCAGTCTATGGAGGAGGATGGAATAACGGGGACATTTATAGAGGAGGACACTCCTACAGAGATCAGCACAGGTGTTTGTCTCACTTCCTCCACCCATACTGCTCACTGATTTGTCCAGAGTAGGGGCGGGGACTGGGTGATATCAGCCTGTAATCCCCTGGTCACTTTCCTGAGTTGTGTGTTTCCCCAGTCCTGTATTCCTGGATTTCTCTCGGATAATCTTCCTCTCTGTGCTGCAGACACAATTTATGTATCTAGACTGGATTTATGGAGGTTCTGGGTTCAGCTGGCAGCAAAATGTTCATTTTCACCATAAATGTTACTAGACCTAGGCACCTGGGGTGTGTCTTTGGGTCTCCTTCCTCATGTCCAGATCTATTAGGATCTCTGACAGAACATATTCTCCCAGGGTTCCTTGCTCTGTGGTCTGCTGGCTGTGCCGGGTGGAGGGATATGTCTGTAGTGTCTCAGACCCAAGTCACTGAGTGCAGTCTCAGGAGATGGGAGGCAGCGGTGTGGGATCTCTGCAACTTGTCTACAGTTGTACATTTAATCTTGACCCCTGCACTGATATACTGAATACCAATACATGAGTCCTGACCCCTGCACTATATACTCTATGTTGTACATTACATACTCCTGACCCCTGCACTATATACTCTATGTTGTACATTACATACTCCTGACCCCTGCACTATATACTCTATGTTGTACATTACATAGTCCTGACTTCTGCTCTCCCCCCCTCCCCCCACTGCTATATATACACATAATATAGATTCTCTTTTGTTACACCCATTTCCTCCCAGCTGGACATTTTATATCGGATGATGATGTGATTGGAGCACAGACTTTTACATGGTGATAATAATGTGATAACATCCTCCAACTTTGGACCCTTAAACAGAAAGTGATAATGAGGGAGGAGTCAATACCCCAATGATGGTGGTCTTCAGGATCAGTCCAGTCTTCATCTTGGTTGTTCTCCCCCCATCCTCACTCTCTGACCTCTGGTGGGGCTCAGCCCCGCTGTTCTTCATGACTAAATCATGGACTAAATAAGGAAGTGCAGTACTTCTTGTGTTGGGAAGATGGCGATGAGTGATAGAGGGGGTGGGGACCCTCGTCCTATAATCCCCTCATCACTGTCCCTCCTATAAAAGACAGTTCTGGTTGTTTCCTCACTCTCTGACTAAGGTCCATGAATAAAGAAATGACCTGGTAGGAGATCAGAGGAGCCATTTCCTAGTTCCCTTGAGGGTGGAATTGTAAGCTCCTCAGAGACCAAGCTGCTGATGTGGGCGGAGTCCTGGTTTGGGGGAACCAATCAGCTCCTGTCTAGTAATCCTCTTTGTCTTTGTATTTTAGTCCATGGCCGGGAGATGAGGAAAACCTCCGAGGATTGTCTCACTTTGTCTCCAGACTGGAAAGTAGAAGATGAGGACATCACACAGTATAGTCCAGGAGAAAACCCGGCTCCCTCCAATGTCCATCCGGCACCACCCAGTGTAGATGGACCATCGGATTCCTCGTATCCTGAGGAACCTCAGACTGTGCGGGACCGGGCCGGCCTTCCAACAGGGAAGAGCTTCTCCTGTACTGAGTGCGGGAAGGGTTTCCATTATAAATCCATCTTAATTTGCATAAAGATCTCACACGGGGGAGAAGCCGTATTCCTGTCCTGAGTGCGGGAAATGTTTTTCCATTATAAATACAATCTTAAAGTTCATAAAAGATGTCACACAGGGGGAGAAGCCATATTGCTGTTTTGAGTGCGGGAAATGCTTTTTCACAGAAGTCACATCTTACACACATCAGAGATCTCACACAGGGGAGAAGCCATATTCCTGTCCTGAGTGTGGGAAATGTTTTTTAAAATCACATCTTGTCACACATGAAAGGCTTCACACAGGGGAAGTAATTTTTCCTGTCCTGTGTGTGGGAAATGTTTTTTTCACACAGAAGTCCAATTTCAATCTTTACAAACATCAGAGATCTCACACAGGGGAAAAGCCGTATTCCTGTCCTGAGTGCGGGAAATGTTTTTCACAGAAGTCCATCTTTACTAAACATCAGAGATCTCACACAGGGGAGAAGCCATATTCCTGTCCTGAGTGTGGGGAAATGTTTTTCACAAAAGTACCATTTTTCTAGACATCAGAGATCTCACACAGGGGAGAAAGCCATATTCCTGTCCTGAGTGTGGGAAATGTTTTTTTTCAAGGAAGTCCAATCTTTCCATTCATCAGAGAACTCACACAGGGAAGAAAGCACTTTCCTGTCCTGAGTGAGGGAAATGTTCCTCACTGAAGTCCTGTCTTCCTGTACATCAGGGGTCCCACAACTCTGGAGGTGTATTAGTGTCTTGAGTGCATAAATGTTTCTAGATGAAGACATTGAAGTGTGGACATCCAGGGTCTCATGTGGGGAAGAAGCACACCCTGATATACACCTCAGTGTGAAATGGCTGATCTTCATCATGGAAGAAACAGTCCCCCAGGAGATCAGAGGTCCCTAATGACATCATGATGAAGTTGGGACCGGGTTGGCCATTGATATCAGGAGAAGAATATAAATGGAGAAGAAATGCTCTGTAATGATGGATTCCCCCGGCTCAGCAAATCTCCTAATGACATCGGTGTGTTTTAGCCCCATTCAGAGAGGAATGGACAGGAGATAAAATCTCTCATACAGACAGAATGGTCATGTGACTTTATAAAGAGGAACGCCAGAAAATCCCATCAATCAAATCTTCCAATGTGTTCTGTGCAATCTGCGTACACGTGGGGGGAGGGGCAGACCCGGGGGCATACAGTGAGAACACAGAGGGGGCTGTCTTACCATGGTAGGCAGGAAGTGTCTCTTAGGCCCGAGCACCAGCATGTCCATCGGCCACCATAAACAAGGAGCTGGCCCAGCACAAAACTCCTGGGAAGACTTACCTGACGCCACTTTCCTGCTCCACTTTCCATCCAGCCAGTGATGGTCCTGCCGCCATTTGTTTTATTATTGGTGTATACTCTGATCAGCAGGAATCATTTCTCCTGAAGAAGTGAGCGCTGCACCACGAAACGCGTGGAGATGGATGACGCTGCTGGATCCTCCTCATGTGCTCAGAATTCTGTCCCACGGTGATTGTTGTCCAGGAATTGTCCATTGATGGACTTTGTGAGAGATTTCATGGCCTTGTACACCTGCTGGGAGGGTTTTATGATTCTACGCTGATTGGGAAGAAAACATTGGAAGATCTTTATTGATATGTTTTTCTGGAGTTCCTCTTTATAAAGTCCCATGAGTCCCATTGTGCCTGTATGAGAGATTTCATCTGGGGTAAGGACTGACCTACACCCCATCCATGCACACTTACCTCTCCGGATCTGCTAAGGCAGGGGTTTGCAACCTTTAAGACCTAAAGAGCCACTTGGAAATAGACCCGTTTCCGAGAGGGAAAAAAAGACTGGGAGCCGCAAAAACCATTGCAAACATTTAAAACAAATCCGACACTGCATATATTGTCACAAAAAACGCTCTGGTCATGAAGGGGGTTTAAGGGCCCAGTAAGCAAAGGGTCTCATAATCAGGGCCACAGTGTATCCCTCATAATTACAATCATAGCCTTAGGTCAGTGGTGGGCAAATGCTTTTTTTGACTGAGCCAAATCTTTCCCAAAATCCACGATTTAAATTTATTTTGAGAGAAACATTTTTAGCCAAAATTCTGTCCCCCATATAGTAATTCATCCCCCATAGTTCCCCCATATAGTTCATCCCCCATATAGTAATTCATCCCCCATAGTAATTCATCCCTGGGGTACATAGTAGGGATCCCCCATAGTAATTCATCCCCCATATAGTAATTCATCCCCCATAGTAATTCATCCCCCATATAGTAATTCATCCCCCATAGTAATTCATCCCCCATAGTAATCTTCTTCCCCATATTGTGGTAATTCATCCCCCATAGGGGAATTCATCCCCCCTATAGTAATTCATCCCCCATAGTAATTCATTCCCCATTCCCCATATACCTTTGCTCCGCGGTTCCTTCGCTGGGTTCCCGCGCCGTTCTGGTCTTCAGGGCGGACTGTGAGAGGAGAGGAGTTCGTCACGCTGCCCTGCCTACATCCGGATGCCCCGCCTACATCCTGACAGCCAATGTTTGCCAGCGGGCGCCCAGCACACAGAAGATCTGCATTAAAAGAGCCGCGGACTTGCCGACCCTATTGCCTGTCACCTGGTGGGCATGTGCTCCGGAGCCGCAGAAAATGTATTTTCCATCAATGAGAAGCATTCCAGCGGCTCCGGTGAGCCGCGGGTTGCCACCCGTGCTAAGGAGGATGGACATGCACTTTCACCAGGAAATGGTTCTACAAACATTCTATGAATAGACCCCCAAATGTCAGGAGACGTTTCTATAAAGACGACGGGAAGTATGGAGCAGAGAAAATGAATAGACCTCCCAGCAATGTTATTACCAGGCTGCAGCTAGGGGGAGCTCTAATGTCACCCCAGCAGAGGGATCCCATCTAGCCCACATTAACCCTCTCACTGCCAGAGCTGTTTCTGCATGATTTTGCACACATGGGAAAATGCAGATTTTGGTCCTGAAGATGAGATAAACCCCCCAAACATCTATTCTGTGACATCAGAGGCCCTGGAGAATAAAATGGTGGTGATTGTTAAGGTGTTCCCCGTACACAGATTCCCCTTCATATCCGCCTTTATTTCCTCCTTTCCCCCATTTTCTATGTTGGGATCTTTTCTACAATACTTTGTTATAATAATGGAACACGTTGTGTATTGTATTGTACACCAATAATAATGACTCCGCCCCCACATTCCAGACAAGGGATCTTCCTGACCAATCGGATTTCTTCCTTTACTATTTCCTGATTTTTATGCTTCAATCTTGTTAAATGTAAAATTATAATAAAACACATTTATTGAACAAAAACTATTGTGTGTGTCGGTGCAATGACGGCAAACTTCAATATAGAACATTGCTCCTCGGTGACACCTCACACCCTTCAATAACGGCGCGAGTGCGGGGGTCAGCAGTATATCATATACAGCCCACCATACAGAGTGCAGAGGGGGGCTGTAGTGTGCCCCCCCTCCTGATCCATACCAGGCCACATGTCCACAACATGGGGGGCACCTTACCAGGGGGGATTCCCCCAGGCATAGCACCTTGTCACCTTGGCTGGTGGCTGTGGGGATCTGTGGGTGGGGGTCATATTGGATTCTGGAAACCCCCCTTTAATAACAAGGGGCCCCCATATACCGTCCCCCCATGTGAATGAGTATGGGGTATATAGTACCCGACAATAGCACCAGCCCAATGACAGCTCCCTAAACTGTCATCATCTACATAAGTGAAGGGGACAGGGATGGTGGGGGACCTTATTACCCAAATGTGACCAGTGACCATATTTGGTCAGTGATGTCACTGCTATCCCCGCCCCCTTCCTTACATGGCAGGGATTCCCAATGACATCACTGATTCCTGGGGGTGTGGCCGCTGTACCCATCCATGTCTTCCTCAGGCACCAGTGACAGCGGGAAGCTGTTATATATAGAAGTGGTAGAAATGTCTCTTCTATGTGTGATGATCGGCTCCTGCAAAACACGGGACCGGAACAGGCAAAGTTTGGTTTGTACTGTCGTCTCATCCCTACTCTCCGACAACTAAACCCAGAGATAAACCCAGAGATCATCCCAAGTGGTCATTGTATTCAGTGGTCAGTCCCCCTTACATTGGTGACCAATGGGAGAAGGACCCTTATATCAGTGGTCAGTGTGTGGTCCCTTACATTGGTGACCAATGGGAGAAGGACCCCTTATATCAGTGGTCAGTGTACTGGTCCCTTACATTGGTGGGACCAATGGTGAGAAGGACCCCCCCTTATATCAGTGGTCAGTGTAGTGGTCCCTTACATTTGTGTGACCAATGGGAGAATGGGAAAGGACCCCTTTTATCAGTGGTCAGTACCAAGTGGTCCCTTACATTTTGTGACCCTTACATTGGAGAAGGAAGAAGGACCCCTTTATCAGTGGTCAGTGTAGTGGTCCCTTACATTTTGTGACCAATTGGAGAAGGATTCCCTTTTATCAGTGGTCAGTGTAGTGGTCCCCTTACATTTTGTGACCAATGGAGAAGGACCCCCTTATATCAGTGGTCAGTGTAGTGGTCCCCTTACAAAAGACTAGAAGGTCTAAAAAAAAAACTAAATGTGAATGAATCACCAGGACCAGATGGGTTGCACCTGAGAGTCCTCAAAGAATGTAGCCAGGTTATTGATAGACAGTCATTCCACATATTTAGGAAAGCTTACTGACCGGAATGGTGGCAGCGGATTGGTGAAAATCTAACGTGGTGGTTCCAGTATTCCAGAAAGGACCGAGATACATATCTGGAAGCTCCAAGCCAGTCAGCCTAACATCAATAGTTTGTAAACTATTGGAGGGATGATAAGGGACCATACCCAAGAATTTGCTGATGAACATAGTATCATTAGTAGTAA